TGTATCGGCAATGCGTTGTTAAGTGGGGTGCTGCCAAATGGTTTTCATGCGCTTTTTGCAGTGCTGCCAACCCATTTGAGGCTGTTTTTTGCTTGCTCCACATTGCCGCAGTGTTTGGCCCTTGTCTTGTTGTTTTTGTCACCTAAATTACAAGTTTTTCATTTGTGGCTTTTCCAGTTGACGCCATAATATTTTACACTTTGTCGACGGAGACGACCTGGCAAACCACAAAAACGTCAGAGAGAAAAAAAATAAACGCTAAACTGCTTTACAATCGTAATTTGCAAATAATGGGCAAATGGTTTGAATGGCTAGAGAAATATTTGTGTAAGTTTTTCACAACTGCAATTGGAAAATCGTTGCTTACTCTGGTATATTTATTAAACTGAGATAGTCTACTTTAATTAATTTAGTTTTGTATTAAACGCCCACTGAGAATGGAAAGACCGTGCTCAAGCAACTATGCCTGGTTTGAGAGGATGAAATAAAACGAGCGAGCGACCGTCTCATGTCTGAAATTCATTATTTATTTTATTACTATATGTAAGGTAAGTGCGCCGACTCTTTCTCTCTCTCTCTCTCTCTTCCTCTATCATTTACCTCTCCTCCATACAATGCAGTAATTGAAATGCCTTCACAGTCTGCTACTTTTTTTCCCAGAAACATTCTCTTGCGTTGGTATTAAAATTTCTGGAATTCTTCCACAGTCTGAGTTTTCTCTTAATCTGGCTTGCTTTCAAACACCTACATCATAACTATGATAGCCTTTCACGCTATTTTCTAAATAGAGCTCCATCGCTCTAAAAAATACTTACATTTTTCCCATTGTACATAAAAAAAAACAAAGCAGATTAGTTTTTTTTTTTTTTTTTGGCTGCCATTTATTCACGATTTCAACTAAAAATCAACTCACATTTCATTTAACAATGGCTAAATACTTAGATAGGTTTTACAGTTTTATAAACTAACAGTATTTTTTAAATACTAGCAAACATATATATATTTATATTTGTATATATAAGACGCCTAGAAACCACAACGTTAAAACACGCAGAAAGGAAACAGAAAATTAAATAAAAATCAAAACATAAAGACTTTTTTCGTTTAGAAAATGTTTCGCTTAAATTTGTAGATATTTCTTTTCATGTCGTATGATTTATATACACTTGACTTAGGTTTAGGTGAGACAATTGAAACATTGAATTTATACAGCATATGTTTTTTCACTTTTTTTTAGTTTTTGTATGTGTACTATACTAGTTATAATGTTTGATTTATGACAGTTGAGGGCGCGAGCAGGAAGATATCCCTATCTCTCTCCCTCCCTCCATCATTCTCTGTCTATGACGCACAACGGGCATTCGCTAAATGTTAAAATGAAGTGACAAATGTGACTAGTTGATTAGCTATGTATTTATATATAGAAATCATTCGTGAAGATTCTTGAGAGCGGATGTCTATTGAATAAATCTTTGGTAAAGTTATTTAAAGAAATTTAAATTTGAATAATCGTTTTTATTGACTTAACTAAAACAAGCAAATATTCAGTTTCTTTGCTAGAGAAATAATGTTTTACGTTTTCACTTATAATTAACAGATCTCAAATGTTTGCATTCTAAAACAATCAATAAATTAAAATAGTATATAATAACACAGTTTTCATAAGCTAAACATTAAATGAGATAAGAAATCTCTAAGCTTTTTTATCCACTCAACAGAGTCTTCACTTCATTTATATGTGTTCCTGATGATTTCTATAAATGCAATGAGAGCTTTGTTTAACTAATATTTGTGGCCAGTTTTAGTTGGCTGCAGAGCACTCGCTGCCCAGCTGTATTGAAGTCTCCGTTTCGCCGCGCAGCTGTAACTGATCCTGGCCAGCTCATCACCGTAGCAGCTTCATCCTTGCCCGTTCCGCCTGAGAGTGGCTGCAGCTGTGTGGAATTCTCGTTCTGCTCAGCTGAGCGGCAGTCCAGGCCAAGTGCAATAGACCCATTAACAGAAATCGAGTTAGCTGCTGTTGCCAATCGAGCTCACTGGGCCTGGGGGCAGCATCTGTTTGGGTAATCGCATGTGTATCAAGGTAGAATGAAAGAAGGAAGAGAGACAGAGGGAGAGAGCGAAACATATTGAAAGCGGCTTAAGTTTGGGTTACACTGATTCCATTTTGTGTGTGGATGTGTGTAGATGTGTGTGTGTGTGTGTGTGTGTGTGTGTGTGTTTGTGTGTATTTGTGTGTGGTACGGGTCGAAGCTGTGGCACCCGCTGGTGAAATTAATCTTTGAATTAATTGCTTGTAGCTTAGCGCAGAGCATTAATAAATCGTGGCGCAGCACAAAGCAAACAACAACTGGAGCAACGGCTAATAAGGTGAGCTGCCCTCACAGTGTCCTGCAGCCTTCGTCCTTTTTCCACTAACTTTGATTTAATGCGCCACCGTTTATCATTCTAATGGCGTGCGTGTAATGTATCCCAATCCCCAGCGGTCTCCTTCGCATTTGTTTTAGTTGCAAAACAATCAGGCTAAGATTTGTATACCTAGTCCAGCCATTTCTCTACGTGCACGATGCGCATTTGTATCTCTGTTTGTTTGTGTGTGTGTGTGTGTGTGTGTGGGTTGACCATTGCTTATCTGTTGCCTAGGCTTTTGGGCTAATTTTTAAACAAACGTTCAGCACTTTTGCTACGTTGCGCCCAACTAATGTGCGGCCCTTAATCAAATGAGTTATTGATTACGCACATTGGCCAAAATGTGAAGGGGGCGAAAAAGGTCAGCCGAAGGGTTCTTAACGCGCTTAAGTTCTGCTGAAATTGTTTAACACAATGTTGGCTAACTGCTGAGGTCTCGACTTGGATTTCCTGATAATATAATCAAGATAGGCATAGATTGTGGTCGCTACATGAAAACTCTAATTAAATTTAACTTTTACTTTAAGAGTTTGTATAGAAGAGGTTAGAGGGAAAATTGTGCAATTTTTACTTTACTCGCTACTTTAAGGTAAGGCCAGAATATCACAATTTTTAGAGTTTGTATATTTATGAATATGATGTGAATTATGATATATGGGTTTCATATGCATTTGAATTGGATGTGTAGCAAAATGAATTATTTGATCTACTCACTTTTGTGTATCAAGTAGAGCTCATTGTGTTCATCCACATCGCCTGGTTGATCAAAGGGATACATATTCATATCCGGTGAGCGGCCAGAGGCCAATATACGTGGCCGATCCTCCTCGATGAGTTTCTCGCTCTCCTGCGCATAGATATCGTGAATGCGAGCGGAGCACTTCAGCTGTAAATATAAATGAATAGAATAGAAATTAGCATAAGTTCCAATGTGATTTGGCTGAGCTGCTCAAACCCTACCTTTAGGCGTCCTTTTATGAAATGATGCGTAGTCACAACAAAGTTGAGTTCCAGAACAGAGGATTCCAAGTGCTCAGCCAGGTGTCTTTGTATGTCATAAGTGCGCAAATAGTTGGGTGGGACCTGAAGTAAGAGGAAAAGGTAATTAATATTATTATTATATTTACTTTTAGTAATTAGTAGTAATTATTTTATACCTGTATATCGTTGATCCACCAGGTCAGATTGGCCGCTGGCTTCGAGTAGTCCGACGAGCAATTGCCATTGATGATATCGCCCAGGCGGTAACGCGAGTGTATGCCCGTTATAATGGGCCGCTGGGCGGGTAGCTCTGCACATATGGCGAGTGCCTCGAATCAATAACTTTGAAGTGATTAGTCAAGCCGGCGACGCACTTACCCACAACTTCCATATCGGCAGCCACAATGGACGTATCGAATGTGGGCGCATCGGCGGACACTTCACAGGCAAATTTACCGGATATAGAGGTGGGCACATTTCGCAACAGCACATGGCTGGCATTCGACTGTGTGGTCTGTGGAAGGGATAGTTGTGGCATTTCAATTAAGCTGTTGGAATTGATAAACGCTGGTGTTGAATGGCTATGAAATATGCGTAATTGAAAATGAATGCAGAGAGCA